AGCACTTGCGTAAAGGCACGTAATATGTCACGAAGATATACGTGTTTTTGCTTATGAGACGGTCAGGTGTAGAAGTAACAAGACGTAAGTTTTCTGACCGACTACGATTAAAACTCAATAGATTAGTGGAAGTATGAACACCTTAAATGTTTTGTTTTGTAAATGTTTTCCTTTGATATATTTTATTAGTAAATGTTTTTTAAACGAAGATTTCATTGCGTCAGACTAGTTGGTAACCACATACTCGTTAGTGGCATGAAGAAGAAGCAGGAGTTCCACTTACAGGTTTCATTAGGTCACATTAAGGCTGCAACCAGGCCTGTTGTTCAGAAGGCCTCAGCACTGACTAGGCCCAGGCTGGGAGCTGTGGGGTCCCACACTGTCACAAGGCAGCTCATCTCCACAGGGACGCCCTGTTTGCTCAGCAGCAGGACAAACAAGCCGTCCATCAGAGGCCTGACATTAATAATTGATGAGCGTTAATGGCAGCACAGGGGAGAGGTGTGGAGGCAGGACCAGCTCAGGCACTCAGATGATGGAGGTCCTTCCCCAGAGCAGGGAGCACGTTCAGCCTCTATAATCATCACACACTCGACAGCTCAGCAGGGAAATTCCACTAACTAGAGACTGGAGTTTGTGCCAAGGCCTGAAATCTCAAAAAGTTTTGTCTTCCTGTAGTATCATATCCTTAAGTACTATTTATATTGGCAATAACATTTAACTACAACGATTATCTGTGACCAAAGATTAGTGGTAATGGATAAGTGGTTGCGGGAGATGAGTAAATGTATCACCAAAGTAAAAGGTTCACCTTATATCTAAAAGCAAGATGCAGTCACCCTTTCACATTTGCAGGGGTTATGGGCAGACAAGCCTCACAAATGTGAAAATTTGCAAATAATACTTAAGTCCATTATTAAACATGCATTATTAGTAACACTGAAAAGTGAAACACAAGATTCCATGGTCGCAAAGACAGCAATTACATGAGTGAGGCAGGTTGCCAAGACAAAGATGTGCGGCATACCCAAGCCAAGATGCGTCGATCCCGCAGCTATTTTCGTTTCCCACCAAAATAACTTTTAATATTAAAGATATAGTATGCATGTACTGTAACAAATAGTAAATAACACTCATACAGTGGTACTTCAGAACTCAAACTTAATCCGTTCAGAACTTGGGATCGAATCCTACAAATTTGAGTTCTGATTGAATTTTCCCCATAAGAAATAATTGGATCCGGGCCCCCAAAAATTACACTGAAATACGTTTTTTTTTAGCATTTAAACACAAAATGAACCGGATAAAACAAGAGCATATACTGTACTAAACACATCTAAGCACATTTATCAAAACAATAATTTGTAAAGTAAGAAAATAAATGTATCCAAACAATGTGTCCTGCCACGATCATCCGCTCCTTCAGTGTGCCACGCCCCCTCATTAACCCCGTGTGGAGTCCCCGTGTGATCAGCTGTTTCTGGTTGTTGTCATTAAGCCCTCTGTATTTAGTCCGTGTTTCAGTTAGTTTCCCCAGTCCGGTCATTGTATTGTCCGTCTGTGTTTTGCCTGCCTTACCCGTAATTAAACCCCGTATTCCCCGATACCCTGACGTCTGCGCCTTTGTCTCCGTTCTGTCCCTGCTGGGCACAACAATATTATTATAATTAAATGTATTAATGGTTTATTATTAATATTTAAATAATTAATAAGAAATCTTTATTTTTAAATGTATTTTATTGTATAATAATAACTACTGTTACTGTCTATCATTGTCTAAATGTATTTTTACTGTCTAAATATATGTATTCAGCTAGTGTAAACATGCACGATGCTATCAGCGAATGCGAGGCTGAGACTGAAGCATTACCCTTTGTTTCCGCTGAGAGACGTGCAGCGTGACTCCTTTCCCCGCGCGTACAAGTTATCTTAGGTCGGCATTCACGGTTTGATTTCTGAGATTCAGATCCAGTTCTAGGTAATTTTTTTCCGAACTGGTTGGTTTGACTTTTAAGAAATTCGAGTTATAATGAGTTTGAGAACTGAAGTACCACTGTATGTTTATGTATGATTTCATGTGATCCGAATCATTTTCAGTATTATTTATATGTTTTTGGCTTACGCATCTTCCAAAATATTCGCATGTAATTGTGCGCAGCCAACTTGCGCAAATGTCACATTCACCAGACTGGAGGGGTGACAGTATATGCACTTTCATTCACAGTTGCCCATAGCTCATGGTGTCATCACTTTAGCCACACCTTCATGGACCAATTATACTCTTGATACCGATACCACTTTAAATATCACAATACTGAAACTGCAATGATACCAATGTAGAAAAAACAATTAAATATTGTTCATGGTCAGTTATGCACTTATGTCACTGATTTTAAGGAGATATTTATCTCATGCATTTAAATTGATACTGATTCTTAATTTTAATAATTTAAGCTCCACTCTACTCCACCACCTGATATTGCCAAGCATGCCATGATGATTCATTCTTTTACAAGGACAGCAATAATACATTCTATTAAATCCGTAAAGGGTATATCCCCCCAATTGATGTGCACTACTGTCTTATCAAATATTAATACTACCTCATATTGTGTCAATCACGTACAAGAAAAAACCAAACCTGTTCTGAAAACTTTTGGAATTGGTGTGTAAACATGACTGACACAATGGGAGACTGTAATTCTTTTTTTTTATACGTGTGACATCTTGGATGAATATCAGAGACATGGTGTGCAATGCCTGGTGCACACAAACTCCGAAACATTCAGTGTCATTAATGTTTTCAGAACAGGTTCAGTTTTCTGTGTTTTTTTGTATCTGTTAAAAGCTCTGGAACATGATCTTGGATGTATGTTACAGTGTTTTGAGGCTGTGCCCTGAATGTCTGCCGATAATCTAAAGCACACTTTTCTGATGACATCATTTGGATTGCCTATTACAGTCATGATGTCTGTATGATTGTCCTTACGTTAGACATACTACCAACTGAACTGTGCAAATTGGTGGTCTTTTTAATTTGTGGTTCAAGTATTGTTAGAAGCATATCAAACTGGACCACAGACATTCCGAAATACACCTTGAAACAACTGGGATAACTCCACAGTTCCTGTATGAGTAGCTAAATTCTCCCTGCTCTTCACGGCTTCCCAGGGTCGGACGGAACCAGTATTTTCTCTTTTTTGTTTCCAGCTGAAAAGTGAGAGGACCACAAAATCAACCTCACTGCTCGATGACTCCATTTTGTCTCATTGCGAATTTTTGCAATTATAGAATAAAATCCATCAGTGTGCAAGATTTTTGTGCATAACGACTTTTGTCGGATAACGCATTAAAAAAAAATCGAAAAAATTTGGACTGGTGTGCAAAGGCCTTGAATGTAAGGAGAGTATTGGGTGATGTGATACTGAGATACTGTAAGTGCCCATAAAGTGTTTTATTTCAGGAAGGTCCAATATAAAAACTTCCAGTGCAGTACAGTATGCTTGATTATTCAACTATTTAAAACATATCGTATCGTAATAACCTGTAAGTACAGATGCTAGTTTGATGATGTTAATGTAGCCTGTTTGCTATAAGATCTTGCAGAGCTTTCAGAGCGGACAAATCAAATTTGCTTGTTTGCCGAAACGATATACTTTACAGAATGATGCGTGCAATAAGCTTGAGTTTCGGCAGTGGTTTGGACACATCTGACATAGTCCACAGTTCTGATTCAATGGTTAGCGTTAATGAAATATAGCATTAGCAATGTCTGTAAGAGTGTAATTAGTACCGCTATAAAAGAATTGTAGTACCGAACAGCTTTGAAAAATACAGTACCGCTGTACTTTTTCAGTACCAGTATCCATGGAACACTATATACCATATCAGAATTGGATCAGTTTCTTCTATGATGTCCATTAAACACTGCTGAAGAACAAAATACATATGTTTAATCATTAGATGGCGCTACTTTCAGACTACTGGTATACACTCATCTCCACAGAGTCCATTTTTATTTTTAAATTTCAGTGACATCATAGGTGTCCATCTATTCCCAGGTCACACCTGACAAGTACGGATCCCTTGTCATTAAAGTTAGTGTATAAATGCTTGACCTGGATACCTTATTCTTACCAGTATTGTTCATTGAGGACCCCTCAAAGCACATAACAGGTAATGTAATGTTCATGGATCAGGAGAGGGAGTTTTGTTCTGACTGATTTTCTTGAAACAAGAAACAGGCACAACCTAATTCTTTTAGGCTCTTGCAATTTTCTTTTTCTCATTTGTATGGTCTGCTTTATTAAAATTTTATATAGATAGCCAATTAGACTGTATACTTTATGCTTTATTCATAACAGATTACCACATAAATTATATAATAATCGAGTAGCTGTGAGGATCATATTACCATTTAATTTTTAGTTGTGACATAGCATGAGAAATTAAATTAGCAACATGGAATGTTTTGACGCTGACTTCTGTGCTCCGCAATGGAGAAAGCAGGCATATCCAAAAGGATGACTGATAGTCTGACAGGGAAAAGCACAGAATACTGCTGAACTTCTTGGAATCAGGACTAATCAAATGTGCATGTTTGGGAGGTTGTGTGAATTATAGCTCAACATGACAGATATAAAGACAGAAACTCGTAAGGACTCTGCTCATAAGGGAGGTACTGAGGATCACGTCAGGCAGCCCATGAGCATGAAGGTACACCGTGCCCATTTTCAGAATGCTCTCCTGTTCCTCAGGATGTCTGACTGATGTTAGTGTAGTGAACATTCATTTTCTGGGAATCATTTCAGTTCCTATACATTGACTCAATTTTTATAAGGCATTCGTCAAATAGCAAGGAAATGGTCGTCACTATTCTACCTGCTGAGTACATTTCAGAGGCCATTTCAACTTGACATTTCAGTGGTGACACGGAGTTTCCCAAAAATAAGAACCAATTTGCAGATTTTCTCCTTCTCTTTGTTCTCAGGATACTCATGATGGTGGATAATATAACAGGAATCACTAACGGCAGCAAATCACCAGACACCATTTTACTCAGTCCAGTCACAGCAAATGTGAATGTGATCATCATACAGGTGCTGGTGGGCATCTTCTTATACATCAACAGCCTCATGATCCTCACCTTCTTCATGAAGGAGGCCTTTCGCACCGATACACGCTATATCCTTTTTGCCCACATGCTCTTTGTGGATTCCTTTCTGATGGTGGCAACCAACCTGGCTTTGCTGCTGATCTACAACAGAGTGGCGATCCCCTATGAGGCCTGCGTGGTGCTCAACCTGCTCATGATCTGGTTGGAATTCTGCACGCCTCTGACTTTGGTGGCCATGTGCCTGGAGCGCTATGTGGCTGTGTGTAAGCCCCTGAGGCACGCTGCCATCTCCACGCCGAGGATTAGAGTGGTGGGCATGCTCCTCATTTGGGGGCTGGGCTGTGTACCTGCCCTCGTCATTCTCCTTTCCTTCGCAGCTCTGGTCTCAGCTGAGCGGCTCACCATGAGAGTCTTGTGCTCCGTGGATTCGTTGATTGTGATCGAGTGGCAGAAGTACCTCCAAATTGCTGTGTTCAAATTCTATTTCTTGGTCATGTCCATGGTCATCACCTTCACATACGTCAAGGTGGCTGCAGCTGCCCGCTCTGCCTCTGGTGAAAACAGGAGGTCGAGCACCAAAGGCACGAGGACAGTGGCTCTCCATGCCATCCAGCTCCTCCTTTGCCTCATACAGCTACTTACACCTTGGTTGGAGATGGCTGTGTTACAGATCAGCGTGGTGATCTACGCCAAAATCCGCGTTGCCAATTTTGTTGTCTTTATGATAGCTCCGCGTTGCCTGAGCCCATTGATCTATGGTTTGAGGGATCAGAATTTCTTCCAAGCATTGAAACACTATGCTGTTTGTGGCCTGGATAAGAAGATTCAAGCAGCTGCTTCTCATTCCAGGAAGGTGGAATTGAGGCATTAATGAGAAGGAGGCCCTGGGAGACACAGTGAGTGGACTTGATAAGACTCCACATATTAGTGATTCAGTGTTTACCTACGTTATTATTTAATATTGTTAATGCCATTTTTATTGTTTCTGTCTCTTCATTATGTATGTTAAACTGCTGTACCTCATTTTGTCTATCATAATAAAATATTAAATACTGAAATTGTCACAGAACAACGCCCCACCAGCATCACCCAGTTCACCCAGGCACTCCGTGTCTCATTAACCACACCCCCTCGAGGAATTCCCTTCAGCAAACCCGCCCACTTGGGGTAGCCCTGTTCCACTGGCACCCGAACTCAGTGGTGATTCTTATTTAGGGTCATGCCCCTTCGCAGCCGCACAGCAGCCAAACGCCAGATTTTATCCTTTTGCTGAGAGTTTGTTTCCCTCTTGGTTCTCATTCTCTCTGCCTGGTTTTTTGATTTTGTTTTCGTTCCCCAAACTGCAGGTTTTGTTTTGCCCTCTCACTGACCTTCACCCATCACCTCACCTTCACCTGCCCAACCTGCACCTTACCTGTTATTTCGGATTCTGTTTTGCGCATTCTGGCTCTCACCTGGACTGTTTCACTATGATTTTTTTCCCATGTTAATAAACCTATTTCTCTGGACCCGATCTGCAGCAGTGTCCTCCTTACTGTTTTCCATCACAGAAGCTAAATTACATATGTAGCTATTTATTATCACTATTATTATAATTATTACTATTATTATTGCTTGCCCCTTATTATGCAATTTACAGTGCCCATTCCTCATTTCATATATCGTAATGATATGTTAAATATTAACAACTAAATAGTGCTTTTTAATTGACCTTCATAGGTGTTGTTTAGGGCAGATCTCATGGTGCAACAGTAGAGTGATTTCAAATCAGACGGTTGCATGTTCAAATCACAGCCGGATCAGGTTTCTGAGCAGTCTGTGCCTCTGATCAGAAATGTCGCTAGATTGGCATCTGCAGAATGTTCATGTGTCCATGAGACAAGGTCCTTAACCCCCAGGTGCTACAAGAAGACTGTGCCTTCACTGTGACTCCACCCCCTCAAACTTTCTCTCACTTGCATGTTTGTCTCATGGAGAGCAAGACAAGGTGAAAAGAATTTCCTCATGCTGACCTTCCCTGCAGGTCCAGGGTGACTCAGATAGCTGATGACTTGAATGGTCAAAGCACATCAGCTAATATAACCTCCAGTGGGTTTATAGTCCAGTGAACCTGTACTGTTACCTGTATAACTCATATATGCAGGTATCGTACAAGTACAACATCTCACTGTAGTATAAGCTCATTAAGGCCATGCAGCACGTGGTGCTTTTCATACCCTAACTTTTAGAGTCATGCAAAAGACCAAAAAATCTTCGTTTGTTAGCTACGATTCACCAGCGCTTCCCACAAATATACCTGCAAGCTTTGAGGTAAAATATTCCGCATATTAGCTGCAGGTAGCATATCAGCTGAGTCACACTTAGCCATTTTTATAAAATAAGAGAGACACAGATACAAGTCAAAGCACATTAACAGGTATTAGCCACTGCAGTCACAGTTATTACTTCTATAGCACTGCATGTGTAGGCAGCAGACTGTATGTGATGTTTCCATTAGGCCAAACCAAGGCTGCAATCAGGCCTGTTGTTCAGAAGGCCTCAGCACTGACTAGGCCCAGGCTGAGAGCTGTGGGGTCCCACACTGTCACAAGGCAGCTCATCTCCACAGGGAAGCCCTGTTTGCTCAGCAGCAGGACAAACAAGCCGTCCATCAGAGGC